AATGTCATGCTCATATTTCTTAATAACAAGAGTTTTATCAACCTTAAATTTTCAAAATTGTTTTCAAGTATAAATTTTCTCACACCATCATACCAAACTCCATGAGCTTGTTTCAGACTATAAAGAATTGTTTTTTTCGTTTGAAAGCATGATTAAGATAAGTAGGATTTATAAAATAGGGAGGTTGATCAACATACAATTCCTTCTTAATATAATATTTCAAAATCACACTCTTTAAATCCATTTGGAAGAGTTTGAAATATGCATGAGAAACCGAAAAACATCCTTATGGGCTCTAATATAACTACAAGGGGATAAGTTTCATCGAAATTTATGCATTTATGTTGATTCCACCCTTTTGCAACGAGTCTTACTTTATTTCTTAAAACATTTCCATCCTCGTTAAGATTGTCGCAAAAGACCCATTTGGTTTCAATCACTTGATTAGCTGATAATTTGGGAACAAGTTCCCGATCTTTGTTTCTTTCAAATTGATTTAACTTTATTCTTAGGTTCATAGCCAATATTAAACATATCATATGATGCTCTTTGGTTACAAAGAAAAAGAGTCAAGTTCTCTCTTCCTTTAGTAAATTTATTAAGTGTATTTTGTAAATCATCATTTTTATATTTCAGAACATCGCATTGATCACACTTGATAGATTTAACTAAGACTTCATGTGAAGAGAAAGCGTTTTGAATTAAAATATTATGTCTTAGAATTTCTATTTCTTCCAATAAGTTTTGATTTTAAAATTCAAAGAAAGAAATAATGGTTTTAGAGGTGAAGACAAGATGATTTAATTTACTTATTTCATTATTTAATTTCTTACAAATGTGAAATAAATCATGATAAGAGAAATGGGAAAATTCCTCATCTTCTTCATGATTCGTCATGAAACAGACATTGGTTTCTTAATTATCTGCAGATTACATGTCATTGTCATCCCATGTGATATATAGACTTTCTTTGCTTTTTTATTTTTAAGGTTTCTTGAACTTTCTCTGATTCTGATTTCTTATATGGTTCTGGAAGCAGTTTGGTCTTATGCTTTATTTCTTTTTGCATTAAAAGCATGTAGAAATGAATAAAGATATTCCTTCATTTTTTATTTTGGTCTTCTTGTTGCTTTTCATGTTTCATAGATCTTATTAAGTTCAGAATAATTTGTGTCATTTCTTCATTTGGGTCAAAATCTTTTTCTTTCTCGGCCTTGAGATTTAAAGTTTTCTTCTTCTTGTCACCTTCCTCACCCTTTGGAAGTGTTTTCAGCTCTATCTCGTGTTCATATAATTTATCAAATATAGCACTCAAATTCATGTATGACGAGTACCTGGATAAAGAAATCACAGTGACTTTGAATTTCTAACTAAAATTTAAGCATTTACGGACTTTCACAGCCAAATTCTCATTTTGAAATTTTTTCCCATAGCTCTCATGTGATTTACAATATAAGTGAATCATTTTTGCATATCATAAATGTTTTCTTCATGTTTTATTTTGAAGAGTTTGTACTCATGGGTTAATAGTTTATCCTTTTCTACTTTACATCATTTGTTCCTTCATGGGTAACTTGAAGGATACCCCACTTTTTTTTTGCAGTCTTATAGTTAGAAACATACAAAAACTCATCAAGACGAAAAGCGCTTGTGATGATAGTCTTAACTTTCAAACTACTATGCACTTTTTCTCTTTCATCTTTGGTCAAATCATCTTTCTATTTATTTACCACAACATCATCAACTTTATGTTTTGGAACAAAATGACCATTTTTTTATATCTTTCCAGATATCAAAATGCATCATCTTTATAAATATTTCATATTCTCTTTTCACAAAGCATATCATTCTTCATTACAGGATGAAAATTTGTTTAGTGAATAGTTTGAAATCATTATCTTCTCCTAGAACGATTATCATGAAAACAAAAGTTAGACTCTAATGTCACTAGTTGACCAAATGACTCAAATCATAATGAGAGGGAGGGGGGGGGGGGGTGAATTGTGATATTCAAAAATATAAAAAAAATATTTCAAAATATTTTATTTAAAAATCAGTTTACATCAGTCCAATAGAGATAGAAGAAGAGAGGATAAATAATTAAAGAGAAAAGAAAATAAATGACAAAAAATAAAGAGATAGAGTTTGAGAGATTGCACTAGAAATTTATACATGTTTGACTTACCACTTGGACTCCTCATATCCCTAAAAAATTTATCCTGAGAGTTCGACTAAAATATGTCTTGAGCTTTTTATATTATATGCCCATGAACCTTATCACAACACACAAGAGATTTCGCACGCGATAACCTCCAAATAAAATGAAGTTTTTAAGAGGTTAAGCTATAAATCAAATAAAGTTTTTAACAAGTCAAACTCTGAACCAAACAAAGATATTATTCAAGAGAATCACATTCTTAAATAAGAACAAAATTAGCACAACACCAATACAACACAATTCTCACACGTATTTTCATTCTCCTGCCACTAAGACAACTTTAGTGAAAGAATAGAAAATGTAGAAGAATAAAGTAGAAAATGAGAAAGAAATGTTTCAATTTCAAAATCTGGCGTAAAATAAAAATGAGGAGAAACCTCATTTATACAGGAAAACATATGGGTAAAAAAGGAAATGATCCATGAGTATTTTTAATATTTTAATCGATTAACCCTAGTTAGTAATCAATTAGAGAAGATAAATATGATTTTTTTTTAATTCCACAATTATTAATTGATTAATGGTTTCTCTGATCGATTAAATGCATTACAAATGAGTTAATCAATTAACTCTAATCTGATAATCGATTAGATAAGCGAAATAAGTTTTTTTTTAATTCTTCCATTATTAGTTGATTAATTAATAACTTCTCTAATTTATCGAAGGAGTTACAAATGAGTTAATCGATTAACCCTAATATGATAATCAATTGTCCAATGTAAAAAAGACATCTTAATTTATTAAACAAGCCAATAATTAATTAAGGATGCATATAAAATAGTTTCAGTTGTTTTATCAAATAAAATAGGCTTTGAAAAAAATTTGAGTGTGTGTTCGAGCTACTATAATATGTCCAGAATTACTCTTATAACTTTGCTTTAAACTAATCACTCAAACATGCGTTAAAAATAAAACTAGGTGAGTTTTCACACTTTATATCTTTAAGAACTTTTGAGCATTAAGTCCATTTGTTAAATTCAATGATGACTTAGCATTTCAACTAAAACTTGACTTTTTTAACCGAGGAGGCTTGAGATAATTTATTGATTAGATACCATCACCATAGATTGTTAGATAGTGGATACAAAAGCTTAACCGAACACGATTTGATATAAGGTATTGTCATCATCAAAATCAACAAGATCATATAACGGTTGCAAACAATTGTACTTGCAATATATAGATCCACAATTAAGCCACAACAATATACATTTGCCATGTATTTTACACATCGTTGTCAAGAACTAAATTAGACTAAAAAATTTAGTGAATATATTACTTTTATCTTGTGAAATCGTCGTCATTTTGCTAAAACACAATTTTTCACCACCAATTTTAAAAAGAAAACTCTTAATACCGTAAACATTTTTCGACCAAATCACTATAGAATGAGGAATGATTTGAACATCGTGAAATAAGTTTAATTCACTCGTTATTATTTTTTATTATTCTGAATTGTTTGTTTATTTTAATCTATTCTTTTTCTTTTTTTTTCATTTTTATGCGTGTCATTAATTTTGTGTATAAATTTTGTTAATTTATTTTCAAGCTAAATATGCATTGAAAATTTGTTGGTTATTTTAGGGTTTTTATCATCAATTTTATTTTTAGAATGTTGTTCATTTGACCAGCGTTGAATGCATGGTGTTCATGTTGAATGTGCGTTAGTTTAACAATATTGCCTTAAGATGTGTAGATTCAATTATTTTTGAACTTTCTTCCGATTGAATGTTGTTGTAAATTGACATTTTTAAGATAGACAAACTAATCATTGTATCATGGAAGAAAAATTTGGAGAAACAAAATGTTATTTCTTCAAAAAATAAATTAATATAGTTTTACAAAATACATACTTTATTCTTAAAACTTTATGCATTATCATTTTGATATAAAGAAACATAAAGAGGCATGGGGAAGTGAAAAATGAAGAGGTACTACAAGAAGCAATGTGGAACGTGGAGTCGACTATTGCCCACACAAACTGTACAAGAAGCCGACCGCGGTCACATCATTTCTTCCTCTCAACTAATTTAACCGAAACTTTTCCAACCCGAAATGACCATAAAGCCCCTCCTCTCTTTTTAATACTCCTCCGAAAAGAAAGGCTCACTGGCCGAGACAAACTCCTCTCACCCACCATCACCGACCTGTCACGCACAAAACTCTCTGCCTCACGCCACATTCCAATCAAATTCATTACAAACCAAACTCCTCCTCACTTTCCCTCCATTCATAACCCATGCCGTGATTCACACACCATCACCCCATTTATGTCTTTTACCATTTTGCCACTCTTCTTCACTTCTAACACCGCTTTTCAACGCTCATCTTCCCGAGAGATTTCTATATTTTTCTATTATTTTTCTATTACAAGGTTTGCGTGTCTCTTTCTATTTTTTCAAACTCTCTCGTTTCAACCCCGGATTCTCTCTTTACTGTTCTACATTATTTATTTTTTGATTTATTTTAATCCTTTAATATTTCTTATAATAATGCTAACTGACTGAATGTCAATGAAAACTCAATCTTACTATATTTTTTTTCAAGGTACTGCATTTTCTACTCTTTTTGAGTTAGTTACAAGTTTTCTTTCTAATTTCTATATGATTTTACAGTTTTTAAGATAAGTTAATAGGTGTACAATGAGTTTCAGTTAAACTGAATTTTTTTGTATTAAAATCTCCTTTAGATGTATGTGTGTTTTGGTTTTCTTATTATGGTGTATTGATGTTAAATTTCTCTTTTAGGTTGGGGTTTAAGCAGTTTTTAGTGAAGTCTGATTATGATGGATGGGCGGAGGCATTCTGTTGATATACCGATTTCTAAGGCTCTTGTGGCATTGAGGAGAGTGAGGTCATTGAGGGATCCATCAACTAATTCAATGATCAAGCATTCTTCTTTGATTGACAACTTACATTGGGATAACCGGTCCGGCAATGGGATTTCTCTGTTGTTTCCGGATGATGTTCGTGTTTGTGATTCTGATGATAGTGGTGCTTTTAGAACAAGGAATTTAGGTTTTGAGGGGGAAAGAGATATGGGTGGTGCTACTGGTTTTGAATTGAATCATGGTCTGTTGAATTTTCGGCCGAGTGTTTATGGAAGTAAATCGCCTAATGAAAGCTGTGGTAGTAACCATGGTGGTAAAGGATTGGGTACGAATGGTTTCGAGGACGGGGAATTATGTCATAGAACAACGGGCAAGTCGTCTAAGTTAGGGAGAATAGATCGCATTAAGTCAGGTAAAAGGCCGCCGCGCAAGAATCAAGTTAAACCATCTCATGTGATGGGAGATACTGCTAGTCATTTGAGCAGTCCGAGCCGTTCTGTTCGTGATGCTTTATTGCCCCGTGGTACCTTGGGGTTTATAAATCAAGATTTTGATGTTCAAGATAATAGTGATAATGGATGTGGATTAAGTTATTGTTGGTCGAAGTCACCAAGGTTTGAAGAGTCGGATATTTATTGTGAGACAGAAGATCGACCCTTGATATTGCACTGCGTGGAGGACATGGAGCTTCATGAACATGAAAGTGCGAGACATAATGGTGGCGAAGTTAGTCCAAATTTGGAAACACCTAGAATGTTATCTATGAAATTCAGGCCTAAATTGTTTGGTGATTTGGTGGGACAAGATGTGGTTGTTAGGTCTCTTTTGGGTGCAATTTCTTGTGGAAGGATAACATCGATTTATCTTTTCCATGGTCCACGCGGTACGGGCAAGACATCTGCTTCAAGAATATTTGCTTCGGCGCTGAATTGCCTTGCTGTCGGGGAGCAAAGACCGTGTGGTCTGTGTAGAGAATGTGTTCTATTCTTTTCTGGAAGAAGTAAAGATGTTAAGGTAGTGGATTCTGTGAAAATCAATCAAATGGACCAGGTTAAATCACTTGTTAAGAATGCATGTTCTCCTCCTGTTTCCGCATGTTTTAAGATTTTCATTATCGACGAGTGCCAGTTATTGAACGAGGAAACGTGGGTTTGCCTTTCAAATAACCTAGAGAACATTTCTCAACATGTGGTTTTTGTGATGATCACTCCTGATTTGGATAAGCTTCCTCAAAGTGCAGTTTCCCGGGCTCAGAAGTATTACTTTCCAAAGGTTAAAGACGCTGATATTGCATGCCGATTAGGAAAAATTTGTGCTGAAGAAGGTCTTTATTACGAACAAGCAGCATTGAACCTTATTGCTGCAAAATCCTATGGTTCTGTTAGGGATGCAGAAATTATGCTTGACCAGCTAAGTTTGCTTGGTAAAAAGATTAATGTTTCTTTAGTTTACGAGCTTGTAAGTATAATGCATCCGTTCCCTTCTTGTTTTCCCTTAAAACGTTCTCCATGTTTTCCTTACTGCTCAACCTTGCCTTTTGTTGTTATGCAGACCGGGATTGTTTCGGATGATGAATTGTTTGATTTGCTAGATTTGGCCCTATCACCTGACACCACAAATACAGTTATAAGAGCTCGCGAGCTGATGAGATCGAGGATAGATCCTATGCAACTTGTATCACAGTTAGCAAATCTCATAATGGACGTCCTTGCAGGGAAATGTGACTATGAAGCGAGATGTAGATTTTCTAGTAGATACACGAGTAAGTGCTTAAGGATAATGTAGCATATTTCTGCAGTCCATGACTATGTTTCACTGTCTAAACTCTATTCTGTTTGTTTCTTACTTCTGTTTCTGACTCGTCATTTTCTCTATCATAGCGGAAGCAGACCTTCAGAAACTTAGCCATGCATTGAGAATACTCTCCGAGGCCGAGAAACAATTAAGAGTTTCAAAAAATCAAACAACATGGTTCACTGTAGCTCTTCTACAGTTAAGCTCTATTGATTATCCTTCCACAAATGCAGATGGTACCAAGTTGCTTCTGAGAGGTATATGCAATGGAGATTGGCTTGATTTGTTTTCTTTCAGATTGTTTATTTGTTCGGTTTAATTACTTTGTAGATTTTTTAATAGGTTCCGGAACTAACAAAGTTCTAAGTAGATTCTTTAATTTGATAGTAACTTATAACTAAGTCCTTAAACTAAAATGTTTTAAATCTACAGGGCAGAGCTTGGAACACCTTGCTACAGGTAGTTGTGAAAACAAGTCATTTAGATTAGTGGCACACGAGGATCACGAAGGAACACTTGATTCGATATGGTATAAAGCTATCGAGATATGTCAATCTAGTCAGCTCAAAACTTTTCTCAGAAAGAAGGGAAAGTTGTCTTCACTTCACGTCGACCAATCTACTTCTTGTAATTCTTTCCTCATTATGTTACTTTAAAATTATTGCATCATGCTGTATAATCACTTTTTTGCTGTTATATTCTGTGTTTTGTCACACTCTCTTTGAGAAATTTGCTTCTTACATTCTGTTATCATTTTCAGGCCTTGCTATTGCAGAGTTGGAGTTCGGCCATCGCCGCCATGTATCCAAGGCTGAGAAGTCATGGAAATCGATAGCAAGTTCCTTGCAATGCATATTGGGTTGTAACATTGAGTTGAGGATCACTCATGTACCTCATACTTCTAATTCACCGAAGAGGTTATCTTTCAACATGTTTAGTTGTTCGCGCAAAATACAACAGAAATCTTCCTCGTCCAATGATCAAGAAAGTGAAATAGACTATGCTGATTACACTTCTCAAAAACCCATGACAAAGAATACAACTCTATCTTCTTCCTCCGATTGTGGATCCCAGGAGCCACCTCTGAAGTCTTATGAAGGAATGGATGTCATAACGACTCTGAGGAGTTGTGAAGGGAACTTGCTCAGCTCAAGAGAAAGATTTTTGAATACGTCTTCTTCTCTAGAAACTATGGGAGCATCATGTTCTAGAGTTGATTCTTACAATGAAGAGGGACACAATGTGGCACATGTAGTTCCATCCGTTCGTAATTCAGATAATCAGTCTAACTGTTTTCCTCAAACTCTTTGGCTTCAAAAGAAGTTCCGAGCTTCAGGAACTACTTGATGTCTGAAAAACCGACCCCCAATCGGATTAGTGGGTCCAATGAACCGGATATTAGTGGTGAAAAAGAGGGATTTATGCCAAATTTTGAAAAGTTGTCAAGTAACCGAGAATCATAATCACCAAACTAAGTGCATGTTTGATATCTCGGTTGGTTTTGCCGATACCAAATATGCACTAAATGTGTTAATCTACATGCCATGTCAAACATACATGCCATATTAAACATTGTCTGACCACAAGTTCATAACTTATTTCATGGAGAAAAAGGTAGCTGCATATGTGGTGTATACATACTGTTGTTGATGAACGTGCTTCCTTTGGCTGACTTTTAGATGGAGCAAAACAAATTGTTTTTCCTTTTTGGTACAAAACTTGTAACAAAAAGATTAGTGTCTTGTCCCCTACTAGGGAAGGATAGTGACCTTGCATAAATTGTGGTAGTTGTACTGACGTTATACTTATTGTCTCGTAACTAAATTGAAGTCTTGCTTTAATATCTTGGGAGGTTAGATCCCAAGTTTGCACTCTATTTATTTTTATTTTTATAATTAACCTATTTTTCCATTCTACGGTACTTTTAAACCATTCTCTAAATATCATATATTTTTTATTAAAAATAAAACTTATTTTATTAGTCGGGGAAATAATCATTAACTTTAGCATGAGCCATTCAATGATGTGGTCATCCCCTACTTATTTTTAAAATTAATGATTATTTCGTTAGGTGTTGGAAACCTTTAAATATTTTGACCTGACTATTTCAAATTATTTCAAGTGAGTATCTTATTCTTTTTAAAAAATGATTAGATATTGGTGAGTTATATTTTTATTATGACGATTAGTTTTCAATAAATTATGTTGTGTTTAATGAAAAAATATTTAATAAAAATTAGTGGTTATTAATATAATGTTTAATAAATATAAGTATTTTAATTAATTATATTGGACTTTTGAAGTGGTGGCGTTGATCTCTAGTGGATATTTAAGATTAATACTTCGAAGTTAAAATCACTTATAAAGTCTAAGACGAGTAAAGTAAAAAGTGGAGATCAGAAAGAGTGTCTTGAATCTCACGTGTGTTGACTATATATGTTGAATAGTTTCAATTGGACTAGGTATGATTGGATCTTTCTATTGGATCTTTGGTCAACTCAGAACAGTTGCCCTCACAGCTTATCAAGTATTTAATAGCCAAGAAGTATTTCAAATTCATGGTCGGCCTCTTGTTATCACGCTTGACCATAAGGAGAAGTTGAGTGACTATTGAGCAGTTACATAAGTAATGAGGAACAAGCGTGTTAGTTGTCATACGGATCAATGAAATATTTCGCCGATTTTTCAGACGCGCAACTTTAAACTCATAAGTTGGGGCATGACACTTTTCTCTAGGGCATCGAGTGCACTTGAGTTTAATTGTATTCCCAAGGTGAAACATGTCTGCTGATTTGCAACTTTTTGTTTTCCATTGATCTGATCTGCAGCTTGGTTTCCTCTATATATAAAAGTATCTTGACTTTTTGGGAGAACATTTTGCTATTCCTGAAAAATTAGTTTCTCTTTCGTGGGAGCGATTTCCTTCCTTCTCATGGGGTATTTCTTTGAACGTTTGTCTTCTTCAAAACGAAACTTTCCCCTTTTGCATTTAATATCTACCTTATTCACTATATTTTACTCTCTCCTTGTACCTTTCTTACTCTGAGCTTATTTCTTAGCACCTAGTATTTATTATCCATGACTCATATAAATGACCATCTCATAAGCTTGTCTAACGATTGTGGTTGGAGTGATTCTTCCCCTTTAGTTAGGACAAAAACATCTTCTAATTCCGATTCCCCTCACCTAATTAACAATCGTATAGTTCCAGTGATTATAATTATGTCTAATAATTCTGAGTCAGAGAGGTTTTTAAGTGGTTCTCTTGATAGAAAAACTTTCTTTGACAAGTCTTCCTTCAACGTTCTCCTTTCCGATGATGATGTTGAAGGTGATCATGTAACACCCCGATTTTGAATTTAGATATTATTTGAGTTTGAGAGTGCTTTAATATAATTTAATTAGTATTATTAAGGTTATTGGGTTTTAATAGAAATTATCTATATATTTTTTTAAATAATGGAGAAAGTGAGAATATGTGGTTTAGGGGAGAAAATAGATTTTAAATTAAATTAGAGTAGTGAATAGAATTATTAAGAGTTAAGGATACTCTTAGAATTAATAAACATAAAAATAGGGTAATTATTTAAATAGAGAAGGAAAATAGAATGAAGGAGTTGTTCGGTGAAAATAAGTTGTCGACAGAGTTGAGAGCAAAACCCTAACAGTGCAAGAGTAGGAGAAAAGACTCCATAGCTGTATATTCAAAAAAAAATTGCGAATTCTGGATAAGGGGAAATTGTTCATGGTATGAGTAATTAAACACGAAGGATAGAGATAATTCCTCATCCTCTTTCCCTTTTTCCTCCATTGATGAAGTTGTTGAATATTGACATGGTTTGTGCAAAACTTCTCTAGATTATTGTAATATGTTGTTGTTTTCGTACTCTGTTGATTGTTGACTTTCGTATGAATCGGTATACGTATTTTGAGTTTGGATGTTCACGTGTATATGCTTTGTATTGATGAACATAATGGTGATTTTGTGGCTAATTGATGATATAAATGATTAATTTGTGAATCATTGATGTGTTAAATGTCATATGGTTGATGTATGAAGATTTATTGTGCCTGTGGGGTCCTCTGAAATTGAAATCGGATGTCTGGAGGTGAAACCATGGTAGAAAACGCTATTTTTCACATTCTGCATAGTGGTGACGAGTCAATTGTCCCTATGCTAGGGAAAACATACCTTGGGGACGTGCTGACGGGCATCATCAAGGCTAGGAGCAGACCGTTAGAGCCTCAGAGACAGGCTCTCTTGTCTAAGCGTCAACGCCATGACGAGCCATTGAGAGGGGCGATGACGGGTGGGCGTGACGAGCGTTATGCCTGGAGGGATAGCTGTCAACCCTTGTTTTAACCTATTTTGAGTAGTTTTACTCGATTTTTGAGTGGTTTCTTTTTTTTATTGTTGTTTGATGCTGCTTGATGAGTATTGATGAGAAGTTATATATATTTTTAATTATTGTGTTAAGTTTATGAGGAATGTCTCATGAAGGAGAAATATGTTGAGTTTATGCTAAGATGTTTCAGTTCAGTGGAACCACTGATGTTGATTTGCTTTGGCAATGATTTATGTTGAGTGTTAGGTTCGAGAGGAACCAGTGACAAGTATTGAAGTTAAAGGTTGAGACGAGTATTTCATATTATTTGTGTAATATTCATGCATTATGTATATTGGAGATAGGTATGACTTATGTCTAGTGACGAGTGAGGACTTCGTTCCAATGACGAGTAGGACTTCGATCCAATAACGAGTTAGGACTTCGGTCTAATGACGAGTTGGATGATTCAGGAACACACATTTGAATATCTGAATTTCGGTACCACATGAATTGGAGTATAAGAGATGAATATATTGCATATATCATTGCATTGTGAATGATTATTGTCATGGACGAATTGTATGATTTATTATTTATGCTAATTGCACTATCCTTATTGTTTTATGTACTATTAACATATGTAAATTTATTCTCACCCATGTTTGTTTGTGTGTTGTTTTTTACGCATGTGATGCGGATACTCAAGTAAAAATCGATGAGCTTTAGCTATTGCTTGTATTGGAGGATGACATAGTTGGTCTTCTTTATTTTCTATCTTTGTGCCTTGTTTATTTTTCCGTGTGTTGCTATGATAGTGTAACACTAGATTGGGAATATCTTATTATGTTTTTCTGTGAGTTGTTGAATTAACTACTTTATGATTAAGTGAAGTTGATTCTATTTATGAGGCAATTGGAGTTATGTTGAAGGTTATTTTCCATTGTTATTATGATTTGAGAATGTTATGCTGAGAAATGTATCACCTTTTCGTATTTTATAATTCCATATTATTTATAAATTATGTGTTTGGGGTTTAAAGTGTTACATAGTTTTGATCAGAGCAGGTCGGTCCATTCAGACTATATTTTTTTAACTTGTTTATACCTTGGTGTGCGACATGTGTGTGAACACTGTCAATGTTTGTTTTCATTAACTACTATTTGCTTTATTATTTACAATTGGTTAACTTGTTTCGGCTAGCTGTGTAAAAAGAAGTGGTTGGATGTAGAAACGTTCAAGCGATTGCAAATGCCCTAGAGGCGATGGCTCGAGTGATGGCGCAAGCGAATCAAGCTTTGGAAGCTCATCAGAATCAGAATCGGAATGGAAGAGTTGATGAGTTTCATGGGCTGGGAAAGTTTCAGAAGAATAACCCGCCCTACATATCAACTGCATATTGCATTTGCATTAATAAATAGTCTATGGTATACTACACTGAGGATCATGAAAAACCTTAGAGTTTATAACGACTGTCTTTTACCATAAAATATATCTCTAAGCTAGGGGGAAGATAAGTTATAGTAAGAGATGATGTCGCATGTTTTCATCATTTCAAGGATGATTCTTGTTCTTGCCAGGATTACTGGTAGAAGAAACAATGAAATTTCAATTAGAATCCAAACACATGTTGATAAGTTTATTGACCAGACAATAACATTACGTTAACAGGAGTATTCAGTTATGAAGTTTTAATAATAATGACAAAATGGTTCAGTATGGTTTCAGAGAAAAGGAAAGAGATTAAGGAAGATGATGGTGCAACATGGTTTCGACCAAAGAGATCGAGAAAACAAATACCACATCGATTTTCAAACATTTATACTAAGTGTTTAGATAGTATACACATACACAACTAAGTGTCCAACTTGTGGGCTTGAGTTAGCTATCCAAAAATTTGGGCCTTTAGCCTATAAATATACTTTTAAAATTTTGTATAAAATAATTTCAAAATATATTTATAAAAAGAATTTAATTAAATAAAAATATTAAAAATATATTTATAAAAAATAGTTTAATTAA